GGATGGATGGATGGATGGATGGATGGATGGATGGATGGATGGATGGATGGATGGATGGATGGATGGATGGATGTAGAGAGATATAGATATAGTGAGAGATATAGTTACACAAAGACCAGAATAATAATTAAAAAATCTTGGTACATATTAACACATGAACTCATAACAGTAACTATAATATGATGACACTTGTATTAAATATAATCATATAACCAAATAGTTTAAACTAGGTTTTCTTATATCTTGGCCTATTTACATTTTATAGATTATCATACTTATAGTTGAAAACCATCTCTATTTTATTACAAACATTCATAATCTTTTTTTCCTCTAATTCCTACCCATTGTCTCTAGCCACTCACAGAAACTGTTCCATGTCAGGTAATATTCTGAATTTTCTTTATCCTTAATTTGAAAAGTAAACCTATCTGTTTCAGCACATTCTAAAATTTTCCGAATTACTTCATCTGGCAGAGTGTTTTCATTTTTCCAGTATTTGGCAAATACTCCTTGGTGCCATCAGTATACGTAAAACTAAATATGTGGTCCCTTTATCGTAACCCTCTGGTATTTGAAGTTCACACATTTCCAAGTAGCTAAGGTTGAGAAATACTGTCGCAGAGAAAGGCTTCTATTGGATGGCCACCAGATGAATCTTATCAGTCTGGATACGTAGCCTTCGGCTACCTCCGATTATCCTGTGTTCCGTCAAGTTTGTAACAACAGGAAATGGACTAGGGCTCCATGATGCCTTCTTTTTAATCTTGAAGCTTTGGAGTGTGCAATTCCATGTCTGTGACACCTTTTCATCCTGCATCTTTTCCAAGGATGGATAGAAAGTGGAAACATCAAGGCATTCTCAAACAAAACACCCAGAGTGTCCATTTATCTTCTGTGCTCCAAAATCCTCTATTAAGCCATACACTGTTACACAAGAAAGTCCTCAATTTACAACCTTTCTTTAGTGACTGTTCAAAGTTACAACAGCACTGATTTTTTTCCATACTTATGACCATGGCCCATGATCAAAGTTTGGTCACTTGACAACTGGTTCATTTTGGATCTGTGGCCTGCCACACTTTCTATTATTCTACTATGAAAATGGGAAAGAGAATTGTGAGGAGTCACATACTATGTAGCCATAACAACATTCTTTCTAGAAAGCCAAGGTCATCCTTTGTCTCTGCACCTCTGCACCTGACCGGAACTGGAAGGGTGCACCTGCAAGCATGGCAGTGGGAGTTTGGACCATGTGATGGACTTGTGGGTGTGGGGGCAAGATCTTGAACTTTCAACTGGATGGGGAAAACCAGGAAGCTTTCGGATTCGGGTTTTCCCAGATGTGCCAACATGGCTCTCTTCATCAATTGGAACTTTGAGCAATAGTTTTTCCTTGGACTCTGATTTACTTTTGGATGCTATTTGGAACCCTGACAGAGAGAGAGAGAGAGAGAGAGAGAGAGAGAGAGAGAG